TTCCCAGGGACTCATACTCCAACCAAGTACCAGGCATGGAGATAACCTAGAACCCCTGAACAGATGTATAGCCCATGGCAGTTCAGAACCAACTAGGTTCCATAGTAATGGGAACAGGGACTGCCTCTAACATGAACTGATTGGCCTGCTCTTTGATCACCTCCCCCCGAGGGGGAGCAGCCTTACCAGGCCACAGAAGTTGACAATGATGAGATCTGATAGACTAAGATCAGAAGGAAGGAGAGGAGGACCTCCCCTATCAGTGGACTTGGGAAGGGGCATGAGTGAAGAAGGGGGCGGGAGGATGGGATCGGGAGGAGAGGAGGGAGGGACTTATGGGGGGATACAAAGTGAATAAACTGTAATTAATTTAAAAAAAAAAGATTGCCTGGACAAAAAAAAAAAAAAAAGAGTATCTGGTAGATAGTAAATAAGCAAATAATTGGTAAAGATCAAGATTCAGCTCAGAGATAAATCTAATGAAAAGTGGACTGAATATGCAATCATGAATAACAATAATATGCAAAAGAATATTCTTATATATCACCAATAACCAACTAAAAAACAGAAGCAGAAAAGAAGGCACCACTCTGGACAGCAGGGGTTGAGGTAGGGTGGCAAAGGCCCTAGAGAAAAATCAGTGTTTTTCAAGAAGATATGGAAGGACATTTAAAGACATGAGCACAGAAGTTACACTTTTGAGAACTGACTATAAAGATATTCGATAATTCTGAATGACAAAGTGTCAATTAACCCAAATTAACTTATAAATTAAAAAAGAGAATATGGTATCAAGTGTGCCATGAACTTAGAAGGTTGTTTTTAATACAGAAATTGTTCAGTCAATAGAAACTAGAACAGAAACCAAACACAGAGCCATGTGCACTTGGCATCAGCAGCATAGGCTTAGGAATCAGGCAGGAAAGAAAACATACTTGTGTTGTGACACATAAATTTCTACACAGAAAAAAAAAATGGAGGCCCTTCCCAAATCACATACAAAGTGAATACCAGGTAGGTAGGTTTAAGGCCGCTACAGCAAACCTAGAGGAGCCAGTAGGAAAGGGCTCTACTGTGCTAACAGTGTGCTAGATAATCCACACCACTCTGCTGCTAAAAGAGCTACACCATCTAGAAAAAAGACTGTTTGATAGCAGTCAACTACAGAAGCAGCATCTTGTTTCAGAACCAAGATATGAGGAAAGAAAACCACAGACATAAGCTGAACAAGGGCAGCTTTTCTCAAAAGACACCTATAAATTATGGAGTAAAGTCCAAAAGGTCAAGAAAAAGAACAAACTTTGAATGGTGTGGACCAAGATTAAAAATCCAAACCTACCAAAGTCATTTAGCCCTACAGGCTAGATTTAAAGATAGGCTAACACCCAGATTCAAATGGGTTATCTCGGATCCATATTGGATTAAAGTTGCTACCCTGCAGAATAAAACAAAAAGCCTTTGGTGGAAGTCCTCAATATTCAGAGATTCAAATTATCTCTACTATTTTTATTTTTTGTTGCTGTTACTATTAACAATCAATGTTTTCTCCTCCCTTTCTTTCTTTCTTTCTTTCTTTCTTTCTTTCTTTCTTTCTTTCTTTCTTTCGAAAGAATCTCACTACATAGCCTTGGCAGGCCTGGAATTCACTATGTAGATCACACTATCCTTGAACTCACAGAGTTCAGAAATTCACATAACCCAACTCTGCCTCACAAGTACTGGATTCAGAGAAACTTTTTCAAAGATAACCAGGCACAGACAAAAAAAAAAAAAAAAAAGGAATGATCATAGAAAAAGAAAGGGGTGGAAAGAAAAAAGAAGGGGAAAAGGGAGAGGAGAAGAGAAGAGGGAAGAAGATGGGAGGGGAGAGAAAGGGGAAAGAAGAGAAAGGAAAATGGGGAGGAAAGATAAAAAGACCTGGAGGTGACAGGAGCTCTGCAAAACCAACAAAGGCAACTGAGGGCTTTGCTAAGACTGAAGCTCCAACCAAGGACCAGACATGGGCTGGACCTCCTACAAAGATAGCCAATGGGCAGCTTAGGTTTCAGGTGAGTCCTCAAGTAAGGAAAGTGGGGACTGCATCACACATGGATTTTTTTGCCAGCTTTTTGATCATTTACCTCTGGTGGGACTGCCTTGCCAGGCCACAGGAGAAGAGGACATGCTTCGTCCTAACGTAACTTATGGGGTGGATAGGAGCTCCCCTTTTCTGAGGAATAGGGAGGGAAGGGAAGGTACTTGGAGAAGAGGAAGGATGGGGCTACAACCAGGAAAGAAGTAAGGGAGGGAGGGAAGAAGGGAGAAAGGGAGGGAGGAAAAAACAAAGAAAGAAGGAAAAGCTAAACTAAAATGTACACAATGAGAACTCCAGAAGGACAGAGCAAGAACTCACCAAGCACTGTGTATGTATCAAAAGCTGAAAAGTTTTCAACATTGACTACAATTATCAAGCTGTAGAAACAAAGTGGGCTGGGTATGCAGCTAGCCAGGAGACACCTACACAGCATAATGAAGCTCCAGCATCACCAAAATCAGAAAGAGGAAAGAAAAAAAAAGTAAACTATACTAGGTGCATCAAAAGAAAAGTTACGTATATGTTTATATACGTAACTCAAAACAAGACAAAAATACCTCTCAAAATGTTAAAAAACCTACACTAGGTACATTAAGCAAAGTTTCTGAAAGCCAAAGGTTAAGCCTTAAAAATAATAGATAATTTTCAAAGAAGCAATACCAAAAGTTATGAGAAGAGACAAAGGAGCTAGACAGTTATGCAATGGCATCATCTAATGCTAAAAAACTGACAACCAAGATTTACAAGAACAAAGTGAAGGGCTTCCAATGCAACTCAGTGGTAGTGAGCTTATATCAATGCATGAATCACTGCATTTGATCACCAATTATCATAGAAAAAATAAAACCAAAAAAAAAAAGCAATTCATATTTTTTTAAAATAAAATACATCTCAAAAAAATCCCCTTAACACTTTACCACCACCTTACACATTTAAAAAACGAAATGATAAGCTGGGCACACGACTGTAATCCCAGTACTTGGGGAGGCAGAAGCAGGTGGCTCTCTATGAGTTCAAGGTCAGCCATCTCTACAAAGTGAGTCCAGGACAGCCAAGGCTACACAGAGAAACCCTGTCTCAAAAAACTAAAAAACAAACAGGCAAACCAACAAAGAAGTTCTGCTTGCAACTGGGAAATGTGTAGAGAAATAAGAAAGCAATTAAAGCAAAACTACATGGAATATATATATATAATTATGCACACATAATTAAACAACAAAAAGCAACATAACACATAAAACCTAAAGTCGCCATATTCTAGGGAAAGCACTGTTTTCTGACCATGAAAACAACTACTAGAGTGAATCTAGTCTGTGTGAGGAGGGGGGAGGAATAGGTTCGATTCCCAGCAACTAAAAACAAAAAACAAAACAACAACAACAAAATGTATCCTTATACTGATAACCCCCAAAACAATGTTAGTCCTTTTAGATAATTAATAAATAAGAATAATAGCCTTGTACTAGAAAACAGGTTTACTAATGCTCTTGAGAACTTACACAAACTGCCAATGAGGCAACAGGCAAAGACAATACCTGTAGCCCTAAACTCTCCCTTGTACCACTGCAGTCTCTTTTCCATGTATAGATACTAAACTACTCTATGAAAACAGCAACTGGGCTGTTCCTAACGTGGGAACAGACAAGCCAGTGGATGACTGTCTTCTTACAAAGGGTATGAAGGGACAGAGCCCCTCCAGGGCTAAATGGTGAAGCCAATTCCTCAGGACTGTAGTCACATCCATGTTTATCTATAAGAACTGTAGAAACTTTCAAAGTCTATAATTACTGGTACAAGAAAGAAACTTCTTGACTCAACTACCTACTCTGTATTCACAAAGGTTAACATTAATACTTTAAAATTGTGAAAATAGATGTTTAAAATTTCCTATTTCATATGCTTCCATTCCACCTCTTATTTGATCATTTTAAATACCAAATGGAGTGAGGTTAGTCCTGAAACAATTTTATAACACTTCTCTAACTGGAATGTAATTATTTTCAATCATTCTGCTATTCAGGAGTCATGTAATATACATAAATTCTAGTTAAGAACAATAGAAATTCCAAGCTACTAATTAAAATGTCACAGATGATTCAATCCTCTGTCAAAACAGGGATTATTTAAACTTCTGTTTCACTTCCTTTTAAAGAAAATCTACTTACTTTATTTTCTCCATAAAAAAAAAAAAAGAATAAACGTTCAAGTATTTCACCAATCAAACTTTAAAATGACTGGTTAACGACAAATTGACTTGAGTAGTTACGTGCTTTACCTGAATGTATTCTACCACGACATGTCTGACTGCATGCAGTAACATCATATAGACACTGAATTACTGCTCTACAGAATTAGAAATTCTTCGCAGTCACTCACATTGAAAGGTCACTGAGCCTTAGACAGAATGATAAACAGCTCTTCTACTTAGGTTACAACCTAGCCATAAAAGCTTTCACTAACTAGTACACTTCACTAAACGCATTTCATACACATGAGTATGTACGCTTTCATTTTCACACATCTGGTAGGCATCTGAGAAACAAAAAATTTTCAATTATTTTCAAAAATTCAGAAATGTTACTTCAACTATTTGCCAGCTATAAGTGCTAAAAATGAAGATGAGGAAATGTCATGAATGTTACAAAGTTTAAGTAGAATTCCAGCCATCATTTCCTGAACTTAGATTACTAAGCAAATGCTTGGACTCTCCAGGACAAGAGGACCATGGCAGTTCAGAGTGCCTGAGAAGTCACCCCAACAAACACCTCCTCAGTGACTCAGTCTGCTCAGGAAAGATGCTTATCTACTCTCAACCTCCTACTAGATCTCCTTTTCCACACTCAGTTTTCTTTCTAACAAAATACTACTGTCAGATTCAAAAGTAAAACCTTTAGAATGATACTAACAAACAATTTTAAATACTTACTGTCTTGTTTCGTAATCTAATGATGTCTGAGACAGACCCAGCTCCACAGTACTCCATGACAATCCAGAGGTCGGTGTTCTTAAAGTAGCTGCCGTAGTACTTCACAACATATGGACTGGAGAAAAAGCTACAGTTAGTTCATCTGCAAGGACAATGTTTTCCTTAATCTTCATATATTCTCAACATTTCATACACTTCAATAAATCAACTTCATGAGTTAACATCTATTTACATTGAATTGTTTGCAGCTAGAGTTCAGCTAGCTGTGTATACTTAGGTTTTATTTCATGGATGAAAATTTAACAAGGTTTACACGCCAAAGGAGGCCCAAGTGCTTTCAGTGATTCCCAACAAACATAATGCTTTATTTTGGCAAGGCATTTATTACTTCATATTAGAAACATATGGAAGTATTTTTCTTTAACAAAAACATTTTAAATATAACGATGAAGGATTTTCATTCAATATTAATGCTCAATTTCAAAATAATGTATATTTCAATGTAGCCAAGTGGGATAATTTTTCCTTTCATGTTGTTCTTTCTAGGTTCTTGAGAAATACTATTTACATACACAGCATATAATCATTTAACATTAATAGTTTAGAATATTTCTTAACTGACAGTTTAATTCTTCCAGAGATGAATGAGCTTTGTTTATAACCAAGGTGTTTTCAGAAAAACTTACACTCAAACAATAAACTACACTACCATTATTGATTATTAAAGATATATGTTATATAGACTGCTACATAAAATAATTCTCTAATTCAAAAAGGTAAAGAATCCGTAATCGCAGAATACACAACGGGATTAAACTACACAAGGCAGCACATAAACTATGCTGCACACAACTTTTATATAACACAAACTCAAAAGAGGACTTGATCATGGTGGGGCAATCAGAGAGAACATGGTAAAAAAGGATTTAATCTCAGTAAAATTGTTTTTTAAATTACTCCAGAGACTGCAGTGATGGCTCAGTGGTTAAGAGAACTGGCTGCTCTTCCAGAGGACCCAAGTTCAGTTCCAAGGATGCAAGCTGTGAGCCAGCATCTGACCTCTGCAGGTACCTGTACCAACATTCACACACCCCACACACACTATAAGGTCTCAAACCCAGGGCAAGTCTCAGTATAGATGGCCCCTCCAGCGCTCACCCCGCCCCACCCAACCAGCCTCCCTCCCAGGGACTGGGCTTCCCTTCCCCAGCCTGACCCCTGTAATTCAGCCATTTTGGCTATGGTGCTCTCCTGGCCTCTTGGTCCTAGCTGCATCTTTTGGTCATGGCTCCTCTCTCAATCACCATCTCTTCTCTCATGGTTCAGTTTAGTCTGCCAGCCATATTCAACCTCAACTCTTTGCTCTGCCTGCTTTCTCCCTTACATCTACAATAAAAATCTTCTCCATACTTTAGGAGTACTCACGTCCTCATTTTATTTCATCTTTTCATTCAGAGACAAGATATATATTCTTAAGATATCCTGAAGAGGCTACATTATCATCAGAGAAGACTTCAGTATAGCCTTAAGACAAATTACCTGGTGCTTAGGGGATGAACTAAAACAGGCAGCTACTGCACTGAAATTTTTTTAATAACTTATTCACTTTGTATCCCAGTTGTAGCCCCCTCCCTCATCTCTTCCCAGTCCCACTCTCCCTCCCTCTTTCTCCCCTATTTCTCTCCTCTAGTTCACTGATGGGGGAAGTTCTCCTCCCCTACTGTCTGACTACAGCCTATTAGGTCCCATCAGGACTGCCTGGATCCTCTTCCTCTGTGGGGTACCTAGGTCACTCACCAGGGAGAAGTGATCAAGGAGTAGGCAACCGAGTTCATGTCAGAAACTGTCTCTTCTCCCCTTACTTGAGGACCCACATGGAGACTACTGAGCTGTCTATGGGCTACATCTGAGCAGGGGGTCTAGGTCCTCTCTACACATGGTCTTTGGCTGATGCATCAGTCTCTGCAGTACCCTTCTCACCCTGCTTTTTTTTTGGCTTTGTTGGTCTCCTTAGGTGTCTCCTGTCCCTTCATGTGTCTCCTGCCTCCTCCAGGTCCTTCTATAACTCCCTTCTTCCATAAGATTCACTGCACTCTATCCAAAGTTTAGCTGTGAGTCTCTGCATCTGCTTCAGTCCCCTGCTGGGTAGAGTCTTTTAGAGGGCATCTGTGGTAAAAGCCCATTTTGTTCCCACTCTTCTACCACTTTGGGTGGCTATTCTGTTTGCCATTCTGAATGAGAATTAAACATCTTCCCTCAGTCTTCCTTCTTAACTTCTTTAGGTCTGTAGACTTTAGTATGTTTATCCTTATTATATGGCTAATATCCACTTATAAGTGAGTTTATGCCATGCATGTCTTTCTGCTTCTGGGATACCTCACTCGGATGATCTTTTCTAGTTCCCACCATTTGCCTGCAAATTCCATGATTTCCTTGTTTTTAGTTGCTGAGTAGTATTCCATTGTGTAAATGTAGCACAATTTCTGTATCCATTCTTTGGCTGAGGGACATGTAGGCTGTTTCTAGATTTTGACTATTATGAATAAAGCCACTATGAACATAGTTGAGCAAATGTTCTTGCTGTATGGCTAAGCATCTTTCAGGTATATGCCTAAGAATGGTGTAGCTGGATCTTGAGGTAGCACTATTCCCAGATTTCTGAGAAAGTGCCGGACTGATTTCCAAAGTGGTTGTACAAGTTTATATTACCAACAACAATGGAGGAGGATTCTCCTTTCTCCACACCATTTCTAGCATTTGTTGTGACTTGAGTTTTTGATCTTAGCCATTCTGATGGGTGTAAGATAGAATCTCAGAGTGGTTTTGATTTGCATTTTTCCCTAATGACTAAGGATGTTGAGCATTTCTTTAAGTATTTCTCCATCAGTTGATATTCCTCTGTTGAGAATTCTCTGTTTAGCTATGTACCCCATTTTTAACTGGGTTATATGGTTTGATGGTGTGTAATTTCTTGAGTTCTTTATATATTTTGGGTATTAGCACTCTGTCAGATGTACGGTTGGTGAAGATCTTTTCCCAGTCTGTAGGCTGTCATGCAGTTCTACTAATAGTTCTACTAATAGTTCTACATCCAGTTAGACCAGCACCATTTGTGAAAGATGCTATCTTTTTTCCATTGTATGGTTCTAGCTTCTTTGTCAAAAATCAGGTGTCCATAGGTGTGTTTATTTCAGGTTTATTTCTGGGCTTTCAATTCAATTTCACTGATCTTCTAGTCTGTTTCTATGTGAATACCATGACTTTTTATTACTATTGCTCTATCAACTTGTAATCAGGGGATGGAGATACCTCCAGGAGTTCTTTTATTGTACAGGATGGTTTTAGTTACTCTGGGTTTTTTGTTTGTTTGTTTGTTTGTTTGTTTGTTTGTTTTTCCATATGAAGTTCTTTCTGTCTTACCCCAATGTTTCTCGATTCCTTCTGGCTTGCTTCCCCCGGATCCTCCCCATTATAATCAATGTTCTACAAAATTGACAAATTGACACAGTTTCCTTTTTAAAAAACAAATTGAATAGAAAGGGGCAGGGAGAAGATGAGGGAGGGAGGGTGGGATTGGGAGGGAATGAGAGGGGGGCTACGGCTGGGATACAAAGTAAATAACCTGTGATTAATATAAAAAATAAAAATAAAAACAAATTAAAAATAGGCTGATCATACTGCTCTCCTGACTTAGGTGGAAAGAAAAAGAAAAGGTCTTAATTGTTCCATATCAAATACACATCTTTCAAAGTCTACCTCTGTATCTGTGCCTCTCATTCTCCTCCATTTCCTGCCTTAAACTTCTGATACATTTAGTTTTCCTGGATGCTGGGGAGAAAAGTGCTGTTAAGGGGTTCATGGGTATTTATGTGAACCTTTTAAAAAATAAAGCTAGCACAGAGACTTGGAGCTTCTGAGCACAAAAGTATGAAAGCACTTCCTTTACCTACACTTCTCGAGATGAGTGCTCGTGTGGAAAACTTCCAATCTTGCTGTTTCAGAACCATATGATCTAGGCCCTAAACCTTACAGGTTATGACTCAGTAGGCCTTCTCAAAGCTCTACGGCTCAGCAATTCTGATATACAGGCAGAGTTGACAATTAGTGCTAGCTAGTTTTTTCTCAACTTTACATAAGCTGTAGCCATTTGAAAGGAGGGAACCTCAACTGGAAAATACTTCCAGAAGATTGGGCTGTACAGCATTTTCTTAGTAATCAATAAGACCCAGCCCATGGTAGGTAGTGTCATCCCTGGGCTGATGATCCTGGGTTCTGTAAGAAAACAGGCTAAGCAAGCCATGAGGAGCAAGCCAGTAAGCAGCACCCCTCCATGATCTCTGTATCAGCTCCTGCCTCCAGGTCCCTCCCCTGCTTGAGTTCCTGTCCTGACTTCCTTTGATGATGAACAGCGCTGTCCAAGTGTAAGCAGAATAAATCCTTTTGTCCCAAGTTGTTTTGGTCATGGTGTTTCATCACAGCAGTGGTAACCCTAACAAAGACACCACTTGAGAAGATAAACTACATACCCTTCAGAAAGCTCGCTGATGTCTAATATTCTAAATTCAGTATTTAAATAAGTGTTTAGTAACAGGAAGCTTAAGAGTTATCTTCACTGGCTAGGAGTGGGGCATGCCTATAATCTCAGCACTTAGGAGGTTACGGTAGGAGAATCTTAGGGGTTCCAAGTCAGTCTGGGTTTCATGGTGAGTTTGAGGACAGCCACAATACTGAAATGAAAGATTACGTCCACTGGAAAGCACAAACACACTGTGTATCATGATCTTGCCACCTATAATAAGTAGTCATTGGTACCAAGGGTAGTACTAACAGCTCTATAACAGTTAGGGATCCTAAGACAGCTACCTGAAAAGCAGTCATCCATTCCCCGAGCCTCTCATAAGGTTCACAGAACTCTTTGGGGTTAAAATTGTTTTCAAAATAGTAAATCATGGCCCATAATAATACAAAAATCAAATAATCACATTTTAACAACTCTTTATAAAACACAGGCTTGAGAAAATTAACCTGAAAAGTATGTAAACAAACAGAACTAATCAAAGATATACAGTCAAGTATATTTCATATCATTTCTTCAACACTTATTCATTTACTCAG